CCATTTTCTTTGTCGGCGACTGACGGGAATCCAGTTTCCCGTGAAGATCCGTTCGCAAGAAAGATGTCCCAACGCCACGAGGGAAGCCAATGGGCGATGCCATGCGATCAGTGGCCTATCAAGCGGAGTGCTTTTGCGGCTTCCCGTTCGAATAGAGAAAGAAACTCATTCCGTGGTTCGTTTGATCGGTGGTCAGGCCTTCTTCGAAGTACCTGAGATCATTTGGCTTCCACTATTATGGAGAAATTTTCCTTTTCCCATTCATCATGGTCGCCTAGATCCAGGGTCAAAGTGTCTTCCTTGTTCCCGCGTACTCCAACGAACCGAACGAATTTATTCGTATCACATTCTGAACAGTATAATTTTTACAAATCCGGAAAATCTTGTGAATACGATCCCAAGTAAACCTCCACGAACGTGAGGTCGTGGTTTCCGGGCACCGCAGGAGTCCTCTTCCGGCTGGAATACTATTTCATATCGCGACTTTCTCGCTTCCCCCCGAGTTTCCCGCGGTTTCGTCCGAGAGTAATACACCAAAAGGTTTCTCAAAGCATTCGCAGAACGGGAAATGACTAACAGGTAATGACTTCCTTGGTATCAGCTCCTATCGAGCCAAGGATGGGCTTACAGGGAAGAGGAGGGCCAAGTCTTTTCCGATCTTCGTGCTCTCGAACTTCCTTGGTTCGTGTGAACGGATCCATGCATCGTTGGCCAAGAAACTGCATTCAAAATGGCTGTCTCGTTTCCCACATTACACGGGGCAAAAGCGTGTCACGCTGTCGTGGAAACGAACACAGCAACCACGAAGCCACGACACACATTTTGTTCAGTCGGCACACGTTCTTCTTTATCTCTCCACTTATCTGCCTGTTCGTCTTCCCAGCCCTGGTCTGTCGAGCTTGGAATCGCGAAGTATGTACAAATTTCCGGCTGGACAAGCCGCACATTTATTTTTTGGCAAATCATCCCCCTTGCAATAAAACCTCGATGCTTCGTTCCATGCTGTTTTATCTGCGCTACGCCACGTTTCGGAAATTGCTTACGGTATACAGACTGGTTCGTCTGAATAGAAGCCCGGCCACGTCAATGTGCCTCTTTCTTTACGAAACCTCTACCTATCTGGCTTCAACTGGAAGCCAAAAACGAGGGAAGAACAGAGGATCGAATACGATCTCGCGATTGGAACCGCCTAGGGAGCTTACAGCGAGGTAATAATCTACTTCAGAACTTCGCGAATAATCGATAAAAGGCACACGAAGCTTACTAATTCTTGTAACGATACCAAAAATGGAGATTGCAGAGAACCTTACTTAATCTGTGGTCGTAATTTTTGCTAGTAGAATATGGGCTGTATCTGGTCAGACATACCGAATTTACTCGCAGGCCAGCAGACGTATTCCCTCACGCTTATCCCTCGGTGGTTCTTTTTTATTTAAGAAGGAAGAATACTACGCGCCACGGCTGTACAAGCGAGGCAACGATCCGTGATTTAAGATTTCTAGCACGCGGTATGAGACGAAGGGGGGCCGTAATCTTCCGTGCGATAAACGGCGCAGAGCACTCGCCGCGAGGAGTCCATATTTTATTGCGTAATAAAATATTAGCCCGCTGGGAGAGTCGTGGGAGGGCTGGCTGGGTCACCTGTCGAGGATTTATTGCGACGGCGCGCGACGGGGGAGGCTGGCTGCGGCAAAACGGGTCAGAGCGCTTTGGAGTCGTGTGAAATGATCGAGACAATGTACAGCCTCGAACTACTGATGGAAAATCTTACATTGAACAGCGTCAATTCGTGTACGCTCTTCGCTTTGTAATCCATTCATCCAATATATCGATTAACACTTTCACTGCCACAGTAGAAACGACCGTACGTAGCCAGACACGCTTAATTCCAGTTTTTTAACTAGCTAAACGCATTTCGACGTACTTTAATAACTAAACCTATATATGTTTTGATGACGTGGCAGATAAAGACTGTTAAATATTCGCTATAATTTCACACCAAACGTCTGAAACACTTGGGGTATTCCATAAACACTTAGACAACACACATTAAGGAGAGACGCGAATCGTTTATTCGATTCTCATTTCCGCAAGAATCAACGCTTAAGTAATCCTCCGCGACGGGGCAATTAATAACGGGAGAGGAAATACAATAGTTCACAGAGAGACCGGCGAGTCGCAAAAGCCAGCAGAAATACTCACTGAAAGAACGAAAGCCGGACCGCGAGTGGAATTATTAATCACGAACGTTCCAGAAAGTTTCTCTGTTTTTACACGCGTTTTAAAACATCGCGGAGAGACAGAGAGAGAGAGAGACAGCCTGTGTGTGAAGACGGTCGACTTCGAGCAGTGACAAAGGTCCAGTAATTCGTTAGAATTCTCTCTGGGCACGGGTACACGCTTGCCTGGACGCATCCTTGCGAGAAGTGGTTGATGCCAGTCATTAGTCAGCCGCGAGACGTTGCCACGGGAGAAGCGTTCGTTCTGCAGAAGGGCGGGGAACTTTCGTAATTTGACGTAACAGATGCACACATCCGTTGAATTCGTAATACTCGGGAGGGGGAGGGACGTATATCGGTTTCCAATACCGAATGCTGTCATTAAACCTAACGACGACGTATATTGAATTACAGCCAGGCCGCCCAGCGATTGTTCCCGAACACCATGGTCCCTGGGAAACCTTTCTCTAGGTCCTTGAATTTTCATTCTCCACGTCGTCTTCGGGGCCACACAGCTTCTTCGATCCATTCTCGAAGCTTCGCGGAATCCTTCGATATGAAGAACGATGGAACTGACTTTCATTATTTCTCGAGGGTTTTCGTGTCGTATTTCTTCCTTTCTGAGAAAGACGATCTTATTCTACTGGAATATGCAGATGTGGGTGAAGATGGTAGACTTTACTAGATGATATAATCGATAAAGTGAACCTCGATACGATGATTTTTTCATGAGGTTGCACCCTGACCCGAGAGTGAAACCACGAACGATTCGTGTGGAATCGATTCATCGGGGGAAATTACCTGGTATCGAGTTACGTGGCGGTATTAGAACGGAGATAGGCGGAAGACAAGGTAGCGAGATTTTAGGCGCGCTATTAGCCAGGCAAACTGGGGGATTCTGATTAGGAGTGGAGACCGACCCGATGCCTGGAAATGGCGTGCATTGTGTGCTCCCCCGATCCATTCAGCCCCCTTCCCCCTCTACTTCGTAGCCAGGTGTGCGTTGGCCCACCGACTGGTAGCCTCGATTTCCATCCTATACGTCCGTGATGAGCCCTTGAAGCCCCACAATGAACTGGTATTGTAATCAAGCCGTCCTGCACGATGTGATTCTGCAGGGAGAGGCATGCGATAGGAAGCCAAAGCAACTCGAATCGACCACCACCTACGTTTCGGTTACCTTTCGAATACGATCTGGATCCTTCAGCAAATCACTCTGCGACGACGTGTCGAAATGAGGTTCATAAACGGCTGTCGTTGATACGGCTCAGAGTTCTCTGCTGAAAGCACGAGTAATACTGGCGATCATAGCTCTTTACGTTGAAACTGTTTGAAAAAGTAAACCACTTAACGGAAGCTCTAGCGAATTTCGATCGCCTGTTCAACGAGGGCCCACAGTGTTCGACGCAATGCTTAAAAGTAAAAAGTCTTTGATCCATAAATTTTTTTTGTACCTTCAAAATGTCCATAAGAGAACGTAGGTTTTAATGCTACCCGTAACTTTTGCTAAATTTACCAATTTGCTGTCAAAAGTGGTACTAAAAAAAAGTAAATACTACAACCATTGGTATTTTTCTTTTTTTATATTAAATGCATATCTTCTTTAGAGGCTTTTTCACCAGAGAGAAATTAATAATTTTCGTCCATTTTCTATATCCATCGAATACTGTGGGGCGACAGGAATTAATCGAAAGAAGACGATATATATATATATATATACATCGGTAATAATCCGCGTGAATCCACGTCGCGGACAGTCGACAGTTGGACAGGTTTCAAAAACGATACGGGTATTTACCGTGAATTAGCGTCGGGCTTTTCGAGTGCCTCGATATCCGGCGCGACGATGATTACCCTCGATAAACACGTGAACAATATTACCCTGAACGAGGGAACACAATGCCAGGAAATTCACCAGAGTTTCTCCCTTTCCTCCTCCCTTCAACTCCTCTGGATCGAGTGAATTCGACCCATTTCTTTTTTTTTTTCGCGTGGCTTTCGCGATTAAACTTGAACGAACGGAAGACGAGCTACGTCGACCGGACTCCTTTTCTTCGGAAGCAGCCCGAGGGGCATCGATAATTCATCGAGCACTCCTGTCGATTCCTCGTCCGTGGCATTCTCTTTGGAATCGGTCCCGATAATCCCTCCGATCGAATCAACCCGCGATTACACGGGGCCGTTGCGCTCTTCGCGTTCGGGCGAGATTTTTATTGGACGGCAAATCGAATATCGAGTTGACTTCTTCGTCTTTTCTGTCCTAAGAATCATGCTCGAGACACGATACTCGGGGTATCTTCTACGTTGAAACGACTTGATTACACTGTTCAACGAGTCTCAAAAATTGATGGAAGTAAACCTGGTTTTTGGTGTTACGTGAAGGCTACTGGACACGGTGATAGTTTTAGTTTTTCCTTTACAGGTCACGAAGTCTAGGTTTTTTAATATAAAGTTGACGCTGTTCGGGTAATCTGAAACGTGTGCATCAATCATTGTATTAAGTAGAAACAGAATGCAATGATCAGACACAAGCTAGAGAGCACCATGCTTTTATTACGTCCTGTATAATACACATTGTCTGTGTATGTATACTAAAGGGCATATTGCCTGTTTAATAAGTAAATAAATATTTCATACAGCTTCGTACTTAAAATTTTAAAAAAACATCCTTACGCCTATGGTCAAAATTGAGATTACCATTGCAATCAGCGATTCATAATCAGGTATATAAACCCAGTTTCGCTCCACTCGAAACTGAAAAGGGGCCTTCCCTTGTTGCAGCCTGCAACAAAACCTACTACGGCGACGTCGGTAAAACCTACGACCTGGAGCTTCATCGACCGAAGGAGGATAAGGTGCCTTACTTTTGCAAGCTCACCTTCAGCGCGCCGGGCGGCGAGTTGGGCGACATCATTCAGGTGAATCGGTGACAGAAATGTCTTTGAAAAAAAAAAGAAGTAGCACAATTCCGTGGTCATTCGAAGAACCATTAAACGCTCTCATCCAGAAGTAGTAATAGCTTTCGTGTCCGAATGAAAAAAAACAAAGTTGTTCCACAGTAAAGAACAGAGCCACCCGTTTGGCAGACGAGCAAGAATCAACGACGGGAAATTTTTAATAACGCAAATTGCCCCAGCCTCAACGGCCAAGAGACAGAGAATCCATTCCGTGGATAGCTTCGTGCTCGAAAAGTTTTTCGCCGCTGAATGAAAGTCTCTACCCGGGGCCGTTGCCAAATTATTTACAGCCCCCGTAACATCCATTCCCACGTGTTTCACTTTTTTTTTTTTTTTTTTATCAAAAGACACTTGACCAGTTCCCCGTCGAATCAGAGAGACCCTTTACCAACTCGCCGTTTACAAAACCACACGGTTCCTCCATTTCTCTTCGGTGATTCATGTACCATTACTAAAACGAACTATGTGGAACCTACGAATATTTTAATCGCCTAAATCCAGAGACAAGCGTCGAATGGTAAAGGTGAAACGGAAACACGCACAGATGTGTGTTTTGCACAACAGACGAAATTGATTTTTCTCGATTGCACGAGACAACTCCCCACCTTCCGTGATTCCAGTTGACGTTCGACAGCTTCACCCTGGGGAAATTCGTGTCGTTCACCGCGGAGGGCTGTCCGGACGGTTCCCTGCAGATTTCGGAGGCCCAACGGCCGGACGTCGGCGGTCTATGGTGCGGAACGTCGTGGGGCCCAGCGATCTACTACAGCGAGACACCGTCCGTCACCATATCGCTGAAGCTGCTCAGGCTTAGCAAGGATCAGACGGGATTCAATTTCGACTTCCGAATGGCGTACAAGACGATCAGGAAGTCGGACGCCGTGGTGCGCTACGGGAATCCGTTCGCCGGTAAGGTATACAGGGTATCCCAAAATAATTTCGATTCCTGTAAATGAAAAATTCCTGGGATGATTTGAAACAACTTTTTCCTTATCAGAAATATTCTCCGAGGCTTTGTTAACGAGATATTAACGAAAAACCCTGACCAATCAGAACTCGGCCGGCAGACTGGCGCTCTGGATAACATTTTTGCTAAGGAAAAACTTGTTTCACATCACCCCAGGAACTCCTCATTTCCGGGAATCGGAGCTATTTTGGAACACCCTGTAGATGCTCGAACGATCCTCGAGACGCCTTTCTCCTTTTCCACCCCTCCAGCTACCAACCCCAATCCATGGAGAACGATCTGTTTCCACGTTTCTGATCGCGAACGTGAGGAAACGGAGTTATTGAAATCGAGGAAACATTCGATGTCGTCAATTTTCACCTGGTACGAGAAATGGAATTTCTCTGAAAGTGTCAGCCTTGTAAATTGGGAAAATTTTCCGATCCCTGTTCGAACAAAGTAAAGCGGGCTCTGAATATTTAGTGGTAAAAAATTATTTCACCACGTAAACGGGCCTCAAATTTGCATACCCAAGTCGGTTTGTGCAAAATTAGTGCAACCCTGTAAACAGGCTTCAACGATACAATCGCAGTGTGGTTCATAATTTTTTATTTAACCACTGCTCTCCCCGTTACTTCACCTAATTTTATTTGCTTCGTCGAAAATCCCAATAGATTATTGCCAAACATTAATAGGGTTCAGGATTAGAATATAGGCGTTAAAGGATCGTTAAAAATCGCGATTGCAGGAATAACGCAAACGACAGGAACGCCAGCGTCGACCGAAGCGACGTCGTCGTTGTCCTCTTCATCCTCGTCGAGCGAATACGCGAACAGCTCGATGGCGATGCAAATGGTGGAGCAGCTACCAGGCACCAGCACGAAACCGAGCTCGGAGCAATACCTCGGAGACCTGATATCCGGGACCTATTGCTCCCGCATATTCAGCGACTGCGACCGGAAGAAGTGCAGACTCCAGTCGCCGAACTTTCCTGGATTATACCCTCGGAATCTCACCTGCTACTACGCGGTAAGTCCCACCTGGGGGAGGGGTGTGGGGGTTGAAACTTTTCCCTGCCACTGTCGTGATAAACGTGGAATATCGTAAAGGGTAAAAACTCGTGGAATTATCGGCGTTACAGCTGAATTATCGCGAGAATTCTTCAGTCTGAGGTTCCTCGAGGACGTAACTCTATTACGTGAATCGAACCAAACACGAGCATCGAAAGTTTTCTTTATGCGGGGCGTAACAAAAATGTTGGTGGACCCGGAAGTGCGGGATTCGTGAGGTGATTGGTCGGGGTTTTTCGTTAATGTCTCGTTAACAAAGCCTCCGATAACATTTTTGCTAAGGAAAATCTTGTTTCAAATCATCCCAGGAAGCCCTCGTTTTTGGGAGTCGAAGCTATTTTGGGACACCGTTTATATGCGAATCGGATGGGTTCGAATATTCGTGAAAGAGAATCGACGGTCCGCGAAATGGAGCGTTAAACAGGGAATAGGGATCGTTCAAACGGGGGAAAATGGATCGATCAAACAGATATCTTATTAAGGTTTCACGATTCGAAACCAGTCTCCAGAACAGGGTGTGGACGGCCTCGAAGGTGTCTCCTAGATGATCCCGCGGAAGATTCGCAGAAGCAATTCCGTTCCACGTCGATGGACATAAAACTTGCCGGAAATAGAAGAGGCGTTCGAGACCCGTTCGACGAATCAGAAACGCGTGATTATGAGGCTCCTTTGATCGTGAAATAATTCGATTCGTCACGGTTCCGCGAGCACGTTCAAATCCCCGCTCGAATCGATTCTCGTTAGTCGAACGGAACCAATGAATCCTGGCTTTACAACAATTAACTCCGGAATATCGTTCTTTCTTAATTCGCCGCGGGCGCTGTCGGCTACTAAATCGGTTCCGTAATTTACATTTATCGCTCTGAAATATACAACGAAGTCATTTCTCGGTGGAGTGAATTTGTAACAATATTCGAAATTAGCGCAACCATCTTCATGCGCAGTTCCATATCGTGGTCGAAATAACAAGCAAGCGCCACTGTCCCTGGTTTTCATTTTAATCTCGTATGTGCATGTGTGTAATACAGGTGAGACAGCACGACGTACCACCGGGAAAACACGCTTTAATTTCGGTGAAACAACCCCGTGGCCAATTGGTGGCCATAAGGGCCAGACCGGCCACGCAGGCGGAGTCCTCGCCCCGTAAACTTCAACTCTGGAAGGACTGTGACCTGGTGCAGGTACGTGAAAAAGGTCGCCCATCCCGGGAAAATTCGATTAACCGATATAAATTCGAGGCACCGAGGATACGGTCGAGAACGTGACCATGTGCCCTCCCCGCCGATAAAACCGAACACTGCGGCCGTTACTTCGCATAATTCCGTTCGGGATGGCGGTCGATTTCTTAAATCATGAATAGGTACCTCCCTCGCGGAAAGCCCTGAAACTCGCAAATTCACCTTTCTGCCACTAGAGGAAGGTGGGGGAGGGTAAGTAAATTCGGATCATGGGATGATACTTGTGCCGTGTGCTCTACGGTGATAAGACTGATTTATCGGCAGTCTATATAGAACCACGTTAGTTAACACTAGAACTGCCGACGATGAACGTGTATTTATTTCCGTCGAATCTGTAATCATGAGAATTTGTTAAATATATTCAAATTCTTGAATTAATCAATTTCTTCATTTTCATATTACAATGAAACTACTGAAAGATCTGAGAAAGTGTATTGTGGTAACATTTTAATCATCGTTAGAATATTCTACTAACCGGTCATTTTGAGTGATTTGGTAGTTCTAGTGTTAACCTGGATAACGTCGAAAGTGTGTAGGAAGTATGTAAAAATGGATTGGGGAAGAATGTGTCCTTTCGAAGATCTCAGCAGATCTATGTTTCGTGCATTTAGCGATTGACGTGTGCCATAGGACGTCGTAGTTAGTTTTCAATGTCGAGTTTGTGATATAAGAATCGATGATAAATAGACTGCGGATGTGTGCGCAAAATTAGAGTTCAATAGAAATTTGACAGCCTCTATTAAGGCTTTTAGAAGTGTCAAGGAAATATAAAAACCTCGGCAAACTTTATTAAAAGTTTAACTGTACCGAATGGTAGATAATTGCGTATACGATAAATACGAAAAATCCGCAGTGTATAAGATTAGGATTGACAGGTGTATATCCTGTGTCCGCTAACAAGGGATGTCCTACTTTTATACATTAAAGAAGAAACCGCCTCAAACCGTGGTTTCTCCCTTAGTGTCTAAAAATAGCACCAACAAAGTTACAAAAAAAAATTCTTAGCCTGGTACCCTGAAAAAATTGGGCAAACTTGCAGACAAATCGGCATGTATCACTCCGAGAACATCCCCTGTCAGTCATCAGGATTAATACTTGCGAGGGGACAATCTGAAGGTCGACCCACTGACTTTTAATTGAAACGAATCCCGCCGTTTGGTGTACGGAGATCAGGGGGTGGGAGTCTAAATGAGAAATGGAAATTCGCCGCAGGACTACGTGACCGTGTACGACGGTTACACGAAGTTCACCACGTCTCCTTACGGCACGTTTCTCCACCCGACGCCCCCGCACTCGCTCCACGGCTTTCAATTAGAAGTGCAAGTACGTGGTAATTCTCTTCAAACATTCAGAGAACGGGGGAGAGCCGGAACAGCGTGCTTTACACCTTGGTCTGAAGGGTGGGGAGGGGCGGAGAGGGGATAAAATACGGTCTGTTCATGGATCGCATTTAAATGGATAGCTGTGGGCTTCACCGGCATTTTTTCGAATGAACGCGGACATACGCTATCGGCGCAGTCTCCGACCACTTTGATACTTTTAACGAACACGTGAATTAATTAACAATTTAATGGCAAGGTCCGTTGTTCGTGTCCGGCCCAAGTTATAGTTCCCCCGCTCTATTTTGTTATCATTTTTTTAGTATCCTGGTTTTGAAATATTTTGTATTATTTAGTAATTTATTAATTTATAACACCTACAAGTACTGGTCCCGGAAATTTAGAGTAGACTCGCGTTAAAGGAGCTGTGCGGTGCTCTCGTGGCGGGTTTTTTCTGGAAACGCTACTTTAACGCGAGCCAATGGGCACTGATTCGTCGTAAATCTATCTGGATATCGAAATCTTGTGGGTTACATCCTCTAAATCCTGATCTTCTTATTCACACGTTTCAAGGTAAGGTTCGTGGACGCGGACTCTCCAACCTACGCGAAGAACAAGCACTGCGAGTTCTGGCTTCAGGGAAGCGGCGGCGGTGTGCTAGCCTCGCCACGGCACACTTTGCCCAGAAACAGCACCTGTTTGTACCATCTTCGAGGCGCTGGACCGACGCTTCCTAGTCCAACGCCACCGCGTCCTCTGCCCAAGTTCCCCGAACAGAGGCCTGGGACCGTTTGGAGGAGACCGGCTCCAAGGCCCGCGCAACCGCAGTTCCGTGTATGGCTGTCGATTCTGAAGTTCCACGTGGGCACCAGTTTGTCTAGCACCGACGGGGACTGCTCGACAACGCTGATGGTCTGGGACGGCGAGATGATGCCATTGGCGGAGTGTAACGACCTCGCCTGGTCCGTTGAACAGACTTTGATTAACACCTTTGGGGTAACGGGCAGGTTTTCCCGTGACTTTCTGTATATTCGGGTTAGAACTTTTATATACAGGGTGTAACAAAAATGTTTCGTCATAGAAAAAGTCGTAGAGCCAGGGGTTGACGTGGATCAGGGATATTGATTTGAATATCGAGACGTTCCGTTCAGTTTGTCTATGTTTGAGGACAAGATGCTTGGAAAGGGTAATTTAGCTTTAGCTTCTATATGTATACTTTTCGGTCGATTTTTCTCCCATTCTTTTAATACATCCCCCATCTTTCTACGTAAGTTCTCCAGTTTGACAATGATTCGTTGATGGTGTGAACAGCGAGAAGGAGCAGCAGAGGCACGGGGACAAAGTGATCGAGCCCTCGAGAACATTGGTGGGTCGTCCGTCGGGTAACACGACACTGTTGGCCCGTTACTGCAAGGACAAAGTGCCGAGGACCTGCGACCACGCAATCCTCCAGAACACCAGTCGACCGTGCTCGTTGGGCGAGAGTTTCGTCTCGAGCGGGAATAGTTTGACCATCGAGATGCGAATGGTCGAGTCGACCGCTCTCAGGCGAGTATGACTCGATCGAGAAACGTTGAACAGTAGGGGGAGAAAAAAAAAAAAGAGCGGTTTCCGTTTCAATTACAGGCAACCCCCTCCTCACTCGAACGCGTGACTCGCGTGTGCCGTTTTATTCCCCGCCTGCTCGTGTCGTTCCAACGGCGAAACGCGCGCGCGGTCTCGCGTAGTATCGATCGACAGGCTCGTATTATGTTTTCTCTCCAGCGGAGATGTAAAGTGATTTTCACCGTAGTATCCCCGGGAAATGAGCTTTTATTACCAGCGGCCTCGTGAATAGTACACAGAAAGAGAGAAAGAGAAGAGTAAAAATAAAAGTAAAAAGGACAGGCAGCCTCGTAATTGAAATTTTGCAGTAACAGTATGTACTACCTCGACACCGAATCGTGTATCTTTGCCAGGAAATGTTAAGTGAAAGTGAAATATTCCTAGGGGACTAGTAGCGAGGAAATACTGTTGTTAATACAGTAAATCATCGATGACTGTTAGAAGACTCCTTGGCACTGAGAGTTCAGACGTAATCCCCACCATTGAACGTTTGACTGGTTCCACAAGGACCCCCACACACCCAGTGGTGGGGACGACGTCTGAACACTCGTTGTCAGTGGCGAGGATCCTCCGAACACTCATCGATGATTTGCTGCGTTTCGAGTTATCTTGGAAATTTATACCGGGCACAACACGAAGGGAATTCTCCTTAATCTCAAAGGACTTTAATCTACCGACAACGTTCGTTTTTTTTCTGCATCGCCGCCAAGAGGGTGGTTGCTCGATCAAGAATTTACGCGTTGACAGGGGAGTTGATAAAGGCATCGCGGGATAGGACGATCGTTTCAAGTGGAAAGGATTAACTAGACCGTGCGACGCAACCGTGTTCCGTGTGCTCCCGCGTGTCGGATATCACACTCGAGCAGACGACCCCGTCCACCCCCCTGGGCAAATAAAAAAGAAAAAAAAAAGAGTGCAAATAAACTCTTTGGTGTCCCTTGTCCGGGGGTGAAGGAACGCGGACAAGCCGGCGAGATAATTACGGGAATATCGAGCACGCTCGTGGACACACACGTCACAGTTTTATTTTCTGGTTTAATTCTGCCACGCGTTTTATTTAAAGCTTGCCTCTGTTTCTATTTTCTTTTATTTTATGTTCGATCGACTTGCTTTTTGCACGGAATCTCTTCTGTATACCGTGTAATTTCGACGTGAAGATTAGCGTTTATTATAACGGTTCGACGACCTTTATTTTTATCTTGCCTTATTCTCTTTTCGTTTCACAACGTTCACCGAAGAAATTCTATGCTTTTCAGAATGAATCGCGAGGGCATGCGTTCGTTAACTCCCATTTAGATCGAATAGAATCTAAAGCCTCAGAATGTCCTGAACTGTTCGTTTCTCTTCTTTTCTTCCGTTTTAAGCGTCACTTCCACAGAATTTCCGTGGATCCCCGGTTTTTCCCGCGCACTGCTCTACAGGAGAAATCGTTTCTTATAAATAACTGATATCGGGGAACGGCGAAAGGGGCCGAGAAACGGTAGGAACGCGAGAAAGAGAAGGAGGAACGAAAACGTGCAAGTGCGGCAGATATTGCGCCACGTCGCCATAAAACCCTTCGCATTCTTCGCGTGTAACGTTCTGTATCGATTTCACCGAGGCTGGGTGTCACGAGCAAATTTTCGTCGGAATTTATATTCAACCCCCTGGAACTGAATTATTGAATTTCAAAAGCGAAAAAAAAAAAACGAAATGGCCGCTCGCCGTTTCCCCGCCCCTGATTTAACAGACATATTTCACCGATGATATCGGCTTCGCGGAGGAATCACGATTCCCCATATTTAAACGGTATTCCATTTCCAACAGTAACGATCGTTCCAACATGGACGAACCCTTCGATTAATTCGACTTTTTAAACAACAAGGTCTTACCCCACATAGCACACGACGCCTTGAAGACGCCCATTTTACGGCTTTGTTAGGTCTAAAGCTTAAGCCGTCTTCAAGGCGACATTGGACGTCATGTGCTATCTGGGCCAATGGCTACCACTCCAATTATTGTAGGAATTAATTAAGATTACAGTTCAGGAATTTATGCAAGTCTCTTTCCTGAAGTAACACCCGAAACAGAGGGTGGTATTGGAATATTAAGCGGGGTTTTAGTCTTCCTTACTTGATTTCAGAAGTCCACGATTATTCAAACCGAACAGACGTTGCCTATTATAATGCACAAACGTTTCCAGACCAACGGGAAATAATTCATTCTATCCCCCCACGTTGGACGAACTAACAAGCTGAACGAGACTGAACGATTACCCTGTTATTCCTCTTTGTCCCTCAGGCCAGTCAATTTTCGCGCCCTCTACGAGTTCGTCGATCTTCATCAGGACGGCGATCCTTACGGTAACGGGCCGTGCTCGAGGATCTTCTACAGCCGGAATCGGGACCATTATCCTGATCGTAGATTCCAGGCTCCGCGCGATATTTTCCTTTACGGCCGCGGCGGGGCGAAAAATATTAGGTGAGAGAGCACTTCCCTTTCAGCCGTTCTCGTCGTCAGCAGATAACGGATAAGAGATTCTTAAAGTCTCCGCTCCCAGGGACTTATTTACCATTTTTTTTCCCCCGTATATTTTCAAGCCTCGAACGAACCTTTGCGTGAATATCCGAACGAACATTTTAAAAATGACGACATCCGCATATTCGTTATTCGTATCTTTTTATTTATCCCCGTGTACCATATACGCGGACAGGGGAAGAGACAATGCGTCTGTCCGCTCCGAAGCGAAATAATCCGCTGTAAGTCCTGATATCGGAATCACTTTGCACGCTCGTCGATCGCGTTCGATGCCCCCCGCGTGTTATCGGAACGGTAAAGCGTGTTCCTTTGCGTGGCCGGCCGGCCGTGTAAATTCGATTAAGGCGGTGAAAGTGCAGGCTAGAACGGTTTTTTTCCAGCTGCGTGTACCGATTCGAGGGCGAGCACGACGAGATCGTTAAGCTGAGGTTCAACAAGGTACTGAACGGGAATCGTACCTGCCGCAGCGTCTCCAGTTCTGACTTCAGTCGATTGCTCTGTGTGGGCTCGAAGAACTTCTCTGTTAAGGTACAACTACACTACTGCGTGCAGTGAATGATCGATGAGTGTTCGTAGGCTTGTAAGCCCTGAGTGTTGAAACGTCACCCCCACCACTGAGGTGGTTCCTGTGGAACGAGTCAAGTGCCCAGTGGTAGGGATGACGTCTGACCACTCATCGAAAATTTTACTGTACTCGCTGCTTACGGTGTGAGACAAAAGAAAGGACCCTGTAAATTTCATTTCGTGAATCAGTTTTTATTTTATTTAGAAGCTCGATGGGACTTCCTGTCGCGACGGTATCAAGGACTATTTAATACGATCGGTAATTAACGAAATTTTCGTGGAAACGTAGGTGTCGGATGTTTCCAGTGTAAACAACAGTCTGAACGTTGCACAGTGGTCGCCGGGTTCGTTATCGATCCGCGAAATTCATTAGGACCGCAATGTTTCAAGCGTAATTAGTAATCGCTGATACTCGGAATGCCGTATTCACGGGTTGTTGTTTGCGTAACGATTGTAATAATCCACCGGGCTAATTGATTCTCGCGAACGACACACGGAATCTGTTCGGTGTGTGTCGACAGGTGATGGATCAGCCGTGGCTGAACGCGCCCCCCGTGCAGAGGGATTGCTTCTGTTCGAACCGATCGCTACCGATGAACGTCAAGTCGACGTCGAACATCGTCGAAGTCCACTTCACCGTGATGTCCATGGACGCGCTCGACGACTACAATAATCTGTTCTTCGAGGCCACCTGGGACTTCATAAAGACCAATCCTTGCATGCAAAAGCGACGAGTCAGAGGACCGTCCGGCGAGATCAAGTACATGTCGCCCATCGTCGACGAGGATGAGGTGGGTGGTTCAACGTTCATTTAGAAATAATCAGGTTGTCCTGTAAGTAATATGGCAGGGTCTGCTAGGTAGCCTTACCTACGAGTCCACTAGCAGTCCACTTCTTCCCTTTTCACGTTATCCCCACCGCTGGGAAGGGAGGGGGCGTGGAACCTCGAGGCTCGGGCTTCGAGCAAAAAACGAATTTACTATTACGGATTACTACGAATTACGGTCTAAAGCATTTCTCCCTATAACATTATTGTCCCGGCGCAGACCCAAGTGAGAGACGATAATCGAGAGAAGTCTGTGGATTGATTTCATTGATCTAGAATCTAACACATTACGCTCCTGACGTCTTGCAGCAAAACTGCGAGAAACATCCGTGGCTGATCGAACCGGGCCCCAATCAGTACCTGTACGTGAAGTTGCACGGCACGATAATGTCGAACACGAGCAAATGCACGACCAAAAATCGTATCGTGGTGCACACCGGTGGCGCGATCCACGTGTCGGTGTGTCCCAGACCGCCGTCGGAGTTGCGGCATCGCGTGGTCGAGGTGTTCAGCGACGGCTGGGCCGTCAGCAGTAACGCGTTGATCCTGTCGCCGGGTCTGGACCCAGTCAGAACCATCGCGGTGGAATTTATCGTCAAGGAACCGGATTCGTACACGGTCACGTGGCTCGAGCTCACCAGGAGGTAACGAAACGACAACTGGGCCAAGTTATGCAAAAAAAACTAGCAACCCTCGATGATCTGAAACTAAATAAAATTTTGAAAATTTTTATTTTGTAAAAAAGTAGCTTCATTTCTATTGGGCATGCTTTATTTCTTGTTGTTTCAGAATGTCTTTTAACGGCTTTTAATTAATATTATTTTTAATTGTACACAGTTAATTGTAATTTTATTTTCCATTTCCTATGGCTTGGGTAATTTATTGCGAAACAAGGATCACAAAATTACGAGATCCATATTGTGTTTCGCTAATTATTTGTTATTTTGAGGATTGGTAAGTTTCCGCATAACTTGGCCCGATGATCACGATCGGTGGACGATTAACGAGACAGAATTCGATCGATCTAACGATACACGTCGTGTTTCAGGCCATCGGTGACGTCCATGGCGGGTCTGCAAATGCCACGGGACTGTGAGCAACGTTGCCCCGAGCTGGACGCGTGCATAAACGCGTCCCTCTGGTGCGACGGTATTTCCCATTGTCCGTCTGGTTACGACGAGGCGTTGACGCACTGCTCGATGCTCCTTCAGCTACCGCCGCTCCATCTGGGTCTTGGTCTCCTAGCGATCGTCACGATCCTCGGTGTGATCTGTTTCGTGCTCTGGCGTATCTGCCGGCAACGAACGAACCGTTCGATATCCCAGCATCGGCTGAAGAGCATCTCCTCGGAGACCGCGATCATCGACGGGAAGGAGGTGATCTGCTGACACAGCGACAGTTCTGTGCGATACGTCGAGGTCGATCGGGTGACCACCGTGTGACGATCACCATCGGTCATCACAGTCGGTCGCCGTGACCTCGTGCTCTGGCTGGTGTCCTCCTGAAGGGGACACCGTCGTGGCAACCGCCGCCTCCGCGTAACGCGCAGAACTGCATCACACACGCGTAAACAGAAATATCAGAAAAACATGCTCGAGTCATTGACACGGGTCACCTATATATACACAGAGTTGCGTTCTCTGCTCGATCACTCGGACACGATCCTTGGCTGTCCTCTGCGCAGAGGTCTGACAGCAGCAGCAAGGGACATTCTTGGAAGCCTCTGCTTGAGAAAGCCTCTTCCTGAAATCCTTTATCACGAAGTAGGCTCTCGACCATCCCACGCAGCTAGGGCTAGTTTGGAGGTAGACACAGGACGCTTTTGTAGTCATACCAGATCGGGTACTGTTCGAAACACCGGGCTCTCTCCTTATGTTTCGCTGCGCGGCTTGGGAATTCGAGCTACGGTAGAAGGTCCGATTGTACGAACTGAGGTATAGAAATAGAGCGTTCGTTGCATCGAGGACTGTGAAAAGTCTACGTCGTTTCCTTTACGAACCACTGACACTAGTGCCTGGTAGTACAGTTCGTACGATAAATATCCTGTGTCGCGGGATTCTACGTTTCCTCGCGATAGAACGATCGGAATGTTCGTTCGACCTCGTTACTACACACAAGTTTTCCCAGATCGTAGAATCCGTATCATGGTTTCCATATTATTTTCTATGTCGAGACTAGTCTCCACGGTACAAACACAGTGCCATTGATCTTAGCCTCGGTCTTTAGCCTGACGACAGAGACGCGTCACGTTAGCGCGAGATGGTATCGAGTTGCTTTAAACGAGAGGACAATAAGTAATAAATTCTAGGTGATATCGTTTCGCTGGTAGTTGGTAGCGCTTAGCAGCTGACCATCGCGTCGCTGTCGATGATCGGGTCACGATCGAGCGTGTCGCGATCGATCGCGGCCGGATCGTCGACGTTGGGCATTCGAGAAGCCTGAGATTCTGTTGAACCTCGTGCTGGGATCGGACGTGAGAAAGGACACTTTCGTGAAAGGAAATCCGAGTGATCAAGCGGGGAACTAACAAACGAAAGTCGCGCGCCAGTCGTCGTTCAATCGTTCGTCGAGATTTTCGACGGGCACGACGATGGGACACGATTTTTAGCACGAGTCAACTGACACTGGTGGGCTCTCTCTCCTATCTCTTCACTTTCTCCTTTATCCTTGACGTTTTTAAGCGCGAAGAACCGATCCTCTGTACGATATTAAAATCGGTCGACGGACCGTTCTTCAGGTGAACCGGACCGTTTTCCTTTGAGAGCGACGGGAATCGAGGCTCTCGCAACTTCTTGTTCCTTCGTCGCGAGATAATAGATCCTCGAGATCAAACAGTCCGGGGAAATGATTCTTCAGCTCTTTGGAGGACACGCGACGCTTTCAAACTCTCTCTCGGAAGAGGCAGCCTTCTTTCTTTTTTTCGCTCAGCCGCCGACGGAGTTCTTCGGTTATTATAGTTGGAAGACACTCTGGCTTGGTCCCCAAGTACCACTAAATGGCTATCTCTCGTTGGATCGTTTAATTATCCTTGTTCCGTACACAGGGTATAATAAAAATGTTCGAGGACCCGGAAATGGGAGACTCGTGAGGTGATTTGAAAGAAGTTCTTCCTTAGCGAAAATGTTATCTGTTCCGTCGTAGACCAGAAACGACGGCTTTAGAGTCTGACGATACCGTTATTACACCAAATCGTCGAATCTGAATGATAAAAAATGGAAAATGGATCGTGTCGCCCTCAAAGGAAAAGTCCCAACAGACCTTGAAACTAGAGATACTGACCAAACTGTTTCGAGTGATTACCGTTTAGGCGACTTACGTATAAATACTTATGTACTAGCGATAAGACTTCGGGGAGAAACGCGTATGTGAGAAGAAAAAAAAAAGGTAGAACCTATGGTAGCCTGAAATTATGTGATATATATAAATGCTGTTTTCCGCGGAGCTGTGCTCCGTTTACGAATTGTTACGCCCGGCCCCGAAGGCACGGTCGACGAGGATCTCGGCGCCGGGAAAATCATTCGATCGATCCAGAATCAACGCGCGGCGACAACCGAAACGCCGTCACTTGTACACCTTGTTCATAATTGTACAGAATTATTTATTCTATTTGTATCGGGTATCGATCCTTGGGCAAACGTCTCCGTTCGCGCCGGTATCTTGCGTTAGTCGTCTCCTATTTTCTTTCTAACTCTGGACCCGCCGGAGATTTCACGATTACAAACCTGTTTACAAGTCCCGAATGTAGAATACTCGATTGAGGAATCGAAAATTTTCAACGATCTGACATTGTTTCAAGTTTTTCAACGTAAACAGAAAGTAACTTTTACTTACGGTCGTGATTATCATTGCTAACGGAGACCTGTACAGAAAACCGCTTTATTATTATTATTAGATAAGCATAGGACACACGAAGAATAAACGAAAAACGAACCTTCGGATACGACACGAATAATATATCGCAAAGAAGGTACGAAATCAAAGGAAAAAAAATTGCGAAAAAAAAAAAAATACATACAGCGTGCGATCGAAGCGTCGCTGTCAGCTAGCCGGAAGCACCGCCATCGTTTCTCTCGCTGTTTTTCACCGTGCACGCAATCGCGAGAGCAGAGAGGAAGGCAAAATCCGCGAACGAACGAACGAAAGCCACAGTCGAACCGTGAAAACAATACGAAACCGACCCTCCATTGTTATACGTTCACGAAAGACAATCGTTGTATAATGTGTTCCGGATACGTGGAGCCGAATTTCTTCACTTGATTAATATTAACCGTATAATTTAAGCAGTGCCAAAAAGGCAGCGATCGCTACGGGAAACGCTGGAACCTACGGATCGGTTTCTGCGCACGGGAAAAATTCGAATTGTAAGCTCAGACAAGGTGCTCGAACTGTAATAGAGAATGAGTGTCTAAAGTTTGGTAAAGTTCAGATTTACGAACAACTGAGAATATTTGAATTTCGACGGTTGATTAATTGAAAGTACTGAAATTTTTCTCGTATGCAGGAACCAGTTGTTCTGCCTCAGCCGCGTTCCCCGAGTGCGAAACGTCGCGACACAGACGTGGTATAAGATTAGACATTTCATCTTATGGGAGTTGGTGGCCCACCTAAATTGTAATACCGACACCTTAAAAAGCCTGTGATTTTAGCGACCTTTACGTTATGAGAACGGTGAATCTGCGGTGGGTAGTGACACTAAAATGGAAATGGGGTGACGTCGCCCCAGAAAAATGGGCCGAAAAAATACATTGGATGAAATGTCCACTCCTAAACCTCGTCTGTGGTCGCGACAAGAGAATACATTCACGTTCGACGCAAACACGATTTCGTCCTTACGAGAAGACTTGTCTTTTGCCGGTGTGTTGTCTGTTTCTTGTTTCGCGTACGATATTCTATTCCCCCGATAACACGGAATCGGTGTCTGATTTCTGTACAAAATGTGATCTTGCTCGATCGTGCAACGAAACAACTCCCCTTTTTTGATACCCATAACGATCGTTCCGCGAAGTATCTGTTGCATTCCGGGGACCAATACGCGCGATCCGCCCGTGGATCGGCCTCGGTTCGGTTTGGCTCGCGTGGTTCCGGTCCAGGTGTGATCAATCAAAAATCTCCCGTGATAAGACGACGCAGAGAATCGAAGACTGAATTATTTTCGCGACGATGCAACAGGAACGGCGGTACATCCTGGAACTGGGACTAACATTCACTGCCACATTTGGTTTCTTCTGTACTGTTAAGATTCATTTCCAACGAACCGTGTGCAGAGATGTTGATTATATACGCGAGAAAAAGAAAACAGATTCCGAATAATCAAACATTAAAACGAAGATAATCACATCGTTTCAATCATTATTTTAAGTAAAGGAAGACGAGGGTCGAAAGGGAATGAGCATGATGAAAGAAATATACAGGTGTAATCGCGACAGCGAATTAATTTCGCTTGATTTATCGTCGTGTATACATACATACATACATTGTCCAAGGAAACAGCTCAACAATCATCTCAAGATAAAACTCGTTTTATCGATTAACCAATGAAATTGAGAGTTCATACCCTCCGCCGGACGAATCGCGAGCGCGGTTCACTTTCCTCGAGTGTGTCACTTTCATTGACGAGCCATCGCGAATAGTCGATCAGGATGATCATTGCACCGACGATGTTTATGCGAATTGACATTTTTCTTTCTTCTTTTTTTCCAGTATCATTGCATTAGAAATTAAACGGCGCGTAAATATCCTGGGTTCGATTAATCATCGCCACCACGAATAATGCCATCGATGATTTCACGTGCACGCATAAGTACTATCATCGATACAAATCATTCCCGTAAACCTAATTATACTGGATGAAATCGTTTCAACGACGAGGTGAGCTAGAACGATCCTTGCCACCTATCGACGAACAACTGTAGGTATTTACGCGAGATCGAAGAGGTTTTTGAACGCAAACCGCACAAAGGGTCTCCATATTAAACGCGATGTGTAACAACGATACGAAAGAACATAGAATCAATTTGTGCGACAAAGGTCCCCTATTTGGCTACGTTCCGATGCACGATGGGGGTGAAGCTTTCGATGGTTGTTACAATTTTCATTCAAGCTGAGTTCACACTTGTACAGAAAGACTCGTTAAAGCTCTCTAAAAATTCTATTTCCTTGAATTTTCCACTGACAGACAGCTGAACAATTGCATTAATAAATGTAGTTATTTTATCGAGAAAGTGCATTTCCCTTTTTAGAAATAGGTCCGTAAAATCGTGAATCCGCATAAAGATGCAATCCTGTACGATCATGAATGGTACAAGTGTGAGAGCAGCTTAAACGATGGTGTGCAAAAATCAGGGCGCCAGCGATCTCGATGCAATTTATTGGCGAACCTTTGTTGACATCGTGCACGACAAACGTGGCCGGTGTTTGGAGACAGCCGCGCATAAGGGTCGTCGGTCAAAGAATCGTATGGACAATAAACGGACCTGTGCCGCCCAGTGCTCGTAACATTTTTGCGATATGGTCCCTGCATTAATTTCCGGTGCACCTCTGCTCTACAATGCCTCTTTTATCTTTCACCTTTTTTTTTCGCATCGACAAACAAACCAACGCATGTTCGGATCAATATGATTTTAAATGGTAAAGATAGTAAATTAAGGATTAATATATACTTAGGAATTTTGAAATTAATTACGGCACGTAAATACTCAAGCACTACCCGGTTATTTATCGTAGCCGTATTGGTTCGAAAATTGCATGGCACCGCGATTTCAGGCCGATGGCCCAAAACCACGAGCGGCGTGTATGTACATAAATAACAAAACGGTCGCGAAACCGACGTGCGACACGATTGTAAATAAACGTAAACTGTACACGTATGAATTTTAAACTAATTCTAGATCACGATCTAAGTTACCGAATAACTAACGTAGCCGATTAGAGCGTTACTGATTACGATGTAAACCATATCCATGGCCAAGCAGCCACAGTGAGACGGAAAAATAACTGTCGTCGATTCGTTGACATCCATCGTTCGCACGAGACATCGGAACAGTAATTTGAGAAACCGCTAGAAATTTTGAATATTCAAAGTGACGATAATAAAAAGACTCATTATATTCTTCTCGACAAGTGGATCGACTGGTTCAGTTCGGAAACTGGCAATATTTTATTAGCAAGTTAACCATCGTTTGTAAAATTAATAGTTTTCTTTTTAAAAAAAAAAAAAAAAAAAAAAAAAAACAGAAGTACGCGGTTGTTATTGTCGTGATCTTTCGAAACGAGTACTGTTCCGACAGTTTCGCGATGAATCGTGGCCATCCTAATGTCTTCGATGAAATTCGTTCTCGCGCAAAGCGTATCGAATCGATTAAGCTGGCGCGACTCCATTGTACATAAGTAACCGAAAGTGTTGTCGATTACGATGATCGGTGAACACCGATAAACTGCACAAGGCGATTAAGTTAATCATTGAAGGGGAAAGAAACTAGACGAACAGAGAGAAGGAAATCGAACAAAGAGGAAGCAGTAACGTAAACAGGGAGTTTAGAACTTCATCGACTGACTCGCGTGGGATCGTTCATCTCGGTACGTTCAATGAAATCATTTTGAAAACAAAATTGAACTCGTATAAAGAATTAGTAGACTGCACATATGTATGTGTTTTGTACATTATTGTTGTAAAAAGATAAAACCAACAGGAGGGGGGGGGGGGTCTGAACGAGATGAACGATTTACACACTAAACGGGTGGAAACGTGTGAGCACGCTTCATTTAATCGCACAGAACTTTTCTGGGTTCCGAACTCATCCCGAAGACTGCCAAAAACGCTTATTGTTACGAACGCTTCGGCGTTTCGCAATAATCATCGTTCCAAACGATTTAAATAACATGTAAACATTAAATACTCTTTTTCTCCAGCGGTCGACGTTGTCGCGGGTAATTTCGAAATATGAACAGCAGCTGATAAGTCAGAGAAACAATGTTACCTACAGCTGGTACACGAAACAGCACCGGATACTGAAATTCCCGCGCTATTTGAACCACCGTCGACAGCTTAAAGCTCTTTCTTTCCATGCGCAACCTCGAATCGATTTTTGAGTTTCATCCATTCTAATCGTCCAGATCGTATTTCATTTGCACGACTTGAATATATAACCGGCGAATGGTGAATCGTTTAAATAATTTCTTCGAATATTTTTGGTATTCTCACAGCGCACGAAGTTTGCGAACGAAAAGAAACATAAGAGACACATCGGAATCCTCAAATACTCCCGATTCCTCGCGCTGATTTATTCCTAGACTGCAAATATATATGTGAATTTACGGCTTTTAAAAATTCCTATTTACTATTAGCTTTAAAACTCTGGCATCTTCCAATCTCGGCTAGAGAAGTAGGGACACAGCCTCTCAATGGATCGTGGTGTCACTGAAATTATGTAAATTCGATTAATTTACATACCTAAATGGTGCTTGATTATATTCTTTGCATATTAGGCAAGGACAACATTGTCCATCTTTATTTATTCTATATTACGTAGTTGCACATGCCGTAAATGCATAATATCCGCAGTCTAGTCGGTCCAAAGAAGCAACCATAGGAATGCCTCTAATAAGAAATCGTTCCGTATTAGGAAATTTTGCGGTGAACGTAAAGTAAGGGACAGGCTCGACAATAACACACATTGCAAGGCATACATAGGCATACACGTATATGTATACGTATATGTAGACGAGATACAGTACGATGTGTTTGCCAGGTCGACGACACACATATCTAACATTAGAAAGTAGAAAAAAAAATTAATGACTGGCTTGATGGTTCATTCGTAATTAGTGATTCATTTGTAAACGTGAAACCTCTCTTAATATCTCAAAATTATTGCTACAAAATGAAAGTACACAAACGAAAAGAACTAAGACTATTTGAAAGCAATGAATTCAATATTATTTCATTAACGCTAATGAGATGGTGTCGCTCGACCTGAAGTACACTTTTGTGGGATTATTAACAAGAATAATAGAGGATCGATCACCGCCAGACGTAAATCTGAAAGAAAACCACCGGATACATGCTCACACGACATGCATATAGTTACTAATTATACCATTATTGATTACCGATTCGAATACCGAGTATGCGACATTTTTAATAAATTATTTTGAAGATTGCTCGAGTAGTCTTGTCCCTAGTACCCCACCGTATTCTATGATTTTTCTTATTCACGGCTTTTCACATCGATGGAAAATGTTTTCAACACACTATACAGTACAGTAATATGTACAAAATCACCTCATCCAGTGATATTCTTAAAGAATTTCAATAAATAATCTGACATCATTAAAAGAAATATGTCACATAATTATTAATACACGTTTATTCTTGAAGTTCTTTATTACAATGTAATAATGGCAATAATTTTACATAATTTAACAGTGTTCAATGTCAAAAGTAATTACAGTATATTTCACTTCATTTTTCGTCTGACAAAAAAAAATAATCTGTCTTTGCACACAAACAGAAACACGAAATATTAAGACTCAATTTATAATGTACTTAAGAAGCAATCTCGTAAAAATGTGTATATAATATATTTTAATACAGTTACAGTACCGAAACATATTTACATGTACAAGATGTTTCACTGTTCTACTTTGTATGTGGTCGTGTTTTTGCTTTTTGTCTGGAACACTGAGCATGACTATGTGCTCGTAAGCTGTTGAACACTTTGTTATTTAATTTGACATCAAATCCTCCTGTATCTCCAGTATCAATACCAGGGGGGAACTGCAGTACTCTACAGGCATTTATCCGTGAGGTCATTAGCATGTCATGTTTTGTGACAATTTGAGAACCTTCACCCATTTTTTTATAACCACAGCGTGGAATTGAAGCATACTCCTTCTCTATGCTCTGAAAGATATGAAATATAATTTAAATATTTTATAATATTTAGAATTGTATTTAATGACAAAAGTGAACAATATAATATTCTACAAATCTCATGTTGCAACATCAACTTCAATGGAATAGGCAACTGTTACATACATCTGTACAAATACAAATAGTAATAACTAATTACCACAAAACGATCAAAATCCCTTTTTGCATCCTCAATGTCTGTATTATCTTTGTCATCCTGATCATTGGACACAGATGTTCGATAGTTTGTGTAAGAAATATTAACTGCAATAATCGGTAGAATCCATAAGATTTATATTATGTATGATAAAAGAACATTATGTCACCTTTAGAATCTCGATTAAATTTTTCTTCTGTGCGTTTTATCATAAGGTCATATTCTTTGTTGTATTGATCTTGCATCATATGTGCAATCACTTCATCACTGTCAGTGTCATTGGTTTCAAATAATGCACAGTCTTGTATATTTACATCATTCACTGATTCCACTTGGTACTTCCTTATTTCTCTGTAATTGGAAGCAATATATTTTTATCTTCATTGTTTAAAAAAGATAGAAAATAATAAAATATATTACTTACTTTTCTTGCAAACTATTAGCTAGCTGCTCCGAAGTTATCTCTAACAGATTAACTGGACCTTCTAGTGGCTGAATTTTTGCCCAAGGTGTCGACATTGCTATAATAATAAATTAGATCTAAACCAGAAAGGAAACACTTTACAAGTATCCGTAGAGTACTGATCGCGAACAAACCACTTAAGGTTAAGTTTTGTCAAACAAAGAATGCAACCATATTGAATGTACAAATACCAAACTTTAACGTGCAATAGCTTTACCGAGTTTTTTCAATTCCTTATGATCAAAATATTTAGACAGTCATTACAAGGATTTCTTTGGTCATTTTTTATGTTGGAAACGTAAATGTCATTACAAGGTGGCATCAAGGTTTCGTTGATACAGTTAACAACATTGTTCTGAGTAGAAATAAAAACAAAAATTCAAGAACTACCACGTACCTTAAAACTAGGAGAAATAACTATAAAAAATTGGAAGACCAAAAAACTGATGAACACATAAAAAGTATGAACAGGAATCCAATAAATAATAAGATGTGAAGTTATGTCAGTGTAAATCCACAGGAGAATCGATAAGGCAGGGTATAATACCACAGACGACATATAGAATAGACCTAACATTAAATATAATTTTCTGTCACACGCATAGGGGGCTCCAAAGACCCCATGCCAAAGGATACCGGAAATAAAGGAGCGGCCCACAAGGGATACCTTCTATATTTCGGGGTTCTATGACTTCACGCTACCCGACACACGGGTCGCTGACCCAACCACCAGGGGGTTCTATGACCCCACGCACATAATCCACGTGAACAAAGGCGCCTCCACCGGGGTCTCCGTGAACCCGCGCTCACACCGCGCAGCCACTGTGGCGCCAAAACCAGGGGGTTCCGCGACCCCAAGCGCTCACCTCACGTGAACAATGACGCCTCAACCGGGGCCTCCGTGCAGGGTCTATGGTGCCTCCACCGGGGGCTCCGTGACCCCACGCTCTCCCCCACGTGAT